TTGTTGTGTGTGTGTGTGTGTGTGTGTGTGTGTGTGTGTGTGTGTGTGGAATCCTTGGGTGTATATTTCATTCCGTTTTGGAAGTCGTGTGATTTTTCTTTTGAACTGGTGCATGGTTGTGTGTGTGGTGTGGTGTGGTTCTATATTGACGACTTCGGCTGGAAATAAATTCTGTTTTTTAGGGGGTCCTCTACTTTTTCAAAACCCACGTTTACATCCCATGCTTAAAATGATGTGAAGCCTCATGTCTGTGCACACAAAGTTAAGCGAGTCATCGTCTATAAACTGTTTCAACCCTTATTCATTACAAATGCATGCCCAAACCCTTATCTTTTGTGTGTAGGGTGTCCTTATGTCAACGAATCAAAATGCAACACTATCAATTTCCTGTTTCCGAATGTGGTCTGCCGCACACAACTAAACCAACAACGAAAGAAGAAGTGCCTTTTTTCTAAAGGAATGAAAAACTGACAGAGAAAACTCATTTGTTAGTTGGTTGGGGAATACAAAGTGCTAATTTGATATTTTCCTTTTTCTCTCGCTTTTTTACCTTTCTTCTCCCCCCCCCCCCCGTCCAGATAGGCTCAACTCTTCATTCAGTGTAGGATACTTTTGTATTTCATTACCCAGCGGGGAAAGGACAGAAAAGGGAGAAGCAGCTTGGGATATGTCCGCCTCTCGAGCCTCAACGAGCGCGAAGCTCGTGGAGCGGCATCAAAAGCGCCAACGCGCCGCCGATGCGCGGGCCCTCTCGGAGAAATTCACGCGAAAGCAAAGCCACTTCGCACGACGCGCCGAGGAGGATCACGTGCGGGAGATGCGCTCCTTCCAACCCCCGACGGAAGGGGGGGAAGGGGCGCCGTCGACGAACGCCCCCGCCCCCCTCGCCCTCCTTTCCGCGGGAAATAACGGAGGAAAGGGAGGAAACGGAATCCACGCCGCGCCCTCCACCGCCGCCAGCGCGAGTTTTTTCGGCGGTCGACGAATGGCAACGACCCCTTCCCGCTCCACCCGCCGCGCGGAGCGATTCAACCTCAGCGACCCCCCTTTAACCCCGCACGCTGGCGAGGGAAAAAGCGGAGAATCGACCCCGACGCTGGGAAAAGGTTTACTCGGCGCCATCCACCCCCGACCAGGTGAAGCTACGAACGGATTGGATGGAATTCTCGCCGGGGAAGCAGGGGAAGACGCGCCACCGCGGAAACTTTCCCGCGCGGAGCGTTTTCGCGAAGTCCTCGCGAACAGCAAAAAAACCCGCGCGCAACACCAACACGAGCGCGCCGAGCGCGATGACGAAACCAAAGCGTTAGATCAAGAAATTAACGCGTTGATGCATCTGCTTCCACGACGGAGCAAAGAAGCGGAAGAGCGGGAGGCCTTCGCGCGTGCGGGAAACGCGGAGGTCCGCGCGTTGCTCGAATCCTTCAAAAAAAATCACGTGGCGAAGCAGCTGGTGTTAAAACCTTCCGGGGAATTCACGATCACGCCGTTGGTGGCGAATCGCACCGGCGAGGGCCCCTCCCCGGCGGAAACGACGACGGACGGGTTTCTCGACGACGACGACCACGCGCTCCTCCGTCGAATCCGCGCCGGGGGGGCCAAAGGGGTGGAAAAAATCGAAATGGAGGTGCCGCCTCCCCGGGAAACCCCCGCGGAGGCCGAGGTGGATGATTTTGATCGTTTGATGCATCGCATGCGGTTGGATGAGCGCCGCGCGCACGCGGGCGAGCGAACCCTCACCGCCGAGGAATCCGACGACCTCCACGCGCGGCAGGCGTTGCTCGAGATGGATCGCGCGTCGATCCCCACCCTCGGACTCTTGGAAGACGAGCAAAAACAACTCACCCGGGGGGAATGGATCGCGCAAGGGGGGGATCGCGTGTTTCACATGGATGACGACCCCGACGGGGAGGGGGACGCGGATGGAAACGCGTTCGATATCGCCTCGTCGTATGGGGAGGTGGATAGCCAACGCGAGGGCGAGGAGGATGAAACCCCACCCGACGACGACGACGACGACGAAAAAAAACCAAAGGTCGAGGCGAAGCCGACCGCGGGCGCCGTGCTCGGTTCTCGCGTGTTGGATCAAATCCTCTCCGAGATTGAAGCCCTGGCGGCTGCCCGCACGGGCGAGAAAAGCCCGCCGCGGGTGGCGACGTCCTCGACGGGGGAAACCCCCCCCCGTCTCCCCTCGTCCGCCGTTTCCGCCGCCGCCTCTTCCTCGCGGATGACGGAATACGGGCGACTGCTCTCCCGTCTCCATCATCACGCGCGCGGGCACGTCTTGGAGGTCGCGAACGCCTTCCGCGCGATTCTGATGGAGGCCGAGCGCGTTTTCCTCCGCGGCCGGCGCCGGGGGTTGAGTCGGCCGCTTCTGCTTTGCCTGCTCACCATCACGAAACTGTTCCCGATGTCGGATTACCGCCACGAGGTGGTGACGCCGTTTTTTCTGTTTCTCTGCTCCACGCTGATGCAGATGCGGCTGGAAAGTCTGGAGGGCGTCCACAGCTACGTCGGGCTGAACGCGATCCTCGTCGCCGGGTTGCGGGCCGGGAAAGGGAAATTCGCGGCCGAGGCCGTCGTCGCGGCCTTCAACGTCCTCGCGTTGCAACTCCCATGGGGGGTTCTCGAACCCGCGCGGTATCAGGGGCTGAAAATGCCAATCCCGCTCGTCGAGCGCGCCGCGGCCGCGCTCCTCGCCGACGGCGCGACCCCCCCTCTTGCCAACGCTCAACCAACCGAAAAAGGCGAAAAAGGCGAACCCCCTCACGAAAAAGGCGAGGAAACCGACGAAACGGGGGCGAACCCCCTCGCCGGTCCGCCCTGGAGGCTCCTGGAGGACTCCCCGGACGCCGAGGGCCTGCTGCTCTGCGCGTATCACCAACTCGACGTGCTCGTCGAGCTCTACCGCGGGATGGCGGCGTTCCCCGCGATCTTTTCCGCGCCCTTCGCGGCGCTCGACGGGCTGCTGCGCGCGCACCACCCCGCCTTCCGTGCGGCCGCGAACGGGGCAGAACCCCCC